CTTTGAACCTCCTCTTTCCACACCCAACTTGCATTTTTAAATAAAAGAATGGTTATACCAATTTCTTAATAATTTAAGCGATAATTTAAACAGTCGCCAGCTTCCAAGAATCACAGTGGAAAAATTCGTTCGGTTTTTTCTATGATAGCGAACGACAACTGAGATCCGTTAAATGCGTGTATTTTGCGAATAGCTGACAATACCCCACCATCTGATATCGGCACACCTCGAAAACGAAGTGAAAATTTTCAAACCGCAGTCGTCCTTGCAGATTTTTGTGGCTTTTATCATGGCTTCGGAGTCTAGTTGTAATTCACCATGTGCCTTCATCAATTTTCGCATTTAAGTTGGTCAAGCCCATAACCAGTCAAATACCGCTGCACCTGGACTCCAGCATTATCAGAGTCTTTAACAAAATTTCCGTCTGGAATTTCTACTTCTTCAATGACGAGTCGCTTATTTAACGTTTCGCTTATCTGTTCTTCAAAATGACGATCTGTGGGGTTTAAATTACATTCTTAATTTATATCGTCATCATCGCAATCAACCCCTTAATTAACCAATTTTTTACGCAAAATACTAATTGAAATTGATCTAGCTACTATATATCGGACTTTGTGGGCTGTAAGATTGGTGCTTGTACCTCGGATAGCTCTTTCTCTAATAAAAAGGGTTTCTAAGTCGTCTTGACAAAATTTACAGAGAAAAATTTGCTGTACATTCTGGTGCAGGTCAAAGAGCTCTTACGAAAGCATTTGCATGGACTTGATTTTTAACCGACTTCCAAAAAAGGAGGAGGTTATCAGTTGGTCGGGATATTTTTTTTTTTTTTTTTTTTTTTTTTTTTTTTTTTTTNACGTCAACCGATTTCGTTAATTCTTTTTGCATAGGAAAGGTAGTGTCTCAGAGGTGGTCCCATACTAATCTGGTTGAGATCAGTGGATATTTTTTTTATATGGGAGTTGAAGTCGGTTTTTTTTTGCTAAAAATTACTTGTTATACATACATAAGCGTTGAATGTGTTTTATTCGAGAGCCATTGAGGAGCTTCATTGACCGCAAAAATTCCAAATGTATGTCTAGTCTTGAGTTTTTTCCCGTGTCTCCCCGTTTTATTGGACACATCAATGGATTAGTCGAATTTAAATTTTCGCAATTTAGCTCATCAAAAAGGTCATTCATCTTTTTGACAAACATAAGACTAGCAATAGTCGTACATGCAAAATATTTGTGTGCCCTCATAAATAACATACAGCCGACTTTCACAAGTATTTAAAAGTTGAAATAAACCCACATGGTTGGGAGCTTGGTCGCAAATGACCGCTTTAACATTCAACACGATATTCTTTAAGTCCTCGATAATTTTGAATAAAATGTCTTCGTGTAAAAGGCCGTTCTTCGAAATATAGTATGAAAATACATATGTCCATTTCGAAAAAAGTCTCTTACGTTGGCCTTTCCTATGATTTTCAAACCCATCAATTGTGTCAATAGTTTGGTTGTACGTGAAATCTGGTTTGATTCATATTTCGTTGAAAATTAAAACGCAGAGGCGTTCGGTAATGGACATATTTCGAACAAGTTGGCGCATGTTTTCAACGACATTTCCATCTAACCCCGGAACGACATACCGAATAGCAAAACCCAAATTGTCACGCATAAAAGAATACGCTTTTTAGTAGTACGCTCAGTATTTAGGGCCAATGCCTTTTATCCCTCACTATAAGAAACTTGAGTACTATTTACGATCATTTTCGCAAAATTAATAGCGTTGCTACTAGCAGAAGCACTAGATACAATTGTGTTGTTATTGGTTCAAAATTCATTGAGGAAAAAGCCTCTTTTGAAAGCTCATAATTTAACACAAAGTGGGGTTCAAAATGGCGTTGACAGACGAATAAATTGTCAATATTTGCTTGAACGGAATGCACTGTGTGCAGTGAATTTATTTATGGATGGAGCCAAGTTGGATGGAAAGATAGTTGGAGGGGCTTTTTGCGAGGTAGTGTCTATTAATCTCAAGTTTAGTCCACCAAATTTACAAAAAGTTGCATATATGTATATAGTTGCGTATACAGTGGGGATCAGAAATGAGTACACGGTTATTTGTTTTTTAATTATTTGCAACGTTTTTAAAGTTAAAATTTGTTTGCTATTTTTTTCAAAAAAATATGGTTCAAACTTTCGAACTTTATACAGAGTTAATAAAAATGTAACAAATTCTTATTAAAAAAAAATGCAAAATAGCGTTAATTTTTAAACGGCCCTATCGCGAATTTAATGCGAAAGCAAAACGAAAACAATTTTTCAAATTCATTCACATGGAATTGTTGTTGGCGGCTTTTGCGGGTTTTTTCGTATAACAAGTGGAATTTATAAAAACTGACGTTGATTTTTTAATTTTCTTTGCATACGGTATTGCGCCTTTTCTTCCCTAAGAAATTCATGCTTGTATGGAAAAAAGTCCAAAATGCCGCCAACAAAAAAAAAATATATTAAAAATCAACGCGATTTTGCAGCCGCTTAAACCTTGCACTTTATGCTAAAATTTAAAGGTTCACCAAACATACTCGAAAAAAAAAAATTCTAAAAAATCAGATTAATAAAGTTTAAATTTTAATGAAAATCATCTACTCAAAGCAAGCGAAAATGCAAGTACAAATTCTGATTTGTGCCCATTTTTGTAAGGGCTCCCTATGGCTTATAAGGACCACCGCGCACACAACGATCGGCCGTAAAGGAAATCCTTTAATAATTTTTCCCGGTTTCTCACGTACATATGTATGTACATTTTATAATGTGCACATTTACTCACCCAATTTAAGTGTTGGGACGGACAGCACCTGGTTTCAAGAACTTCTGATCCACAGATCCACACGGAAAATGCTCTACAAAAAACAAAGGGGTCGTGCGGCGGAAGATTCTCCCTGGGCACGATGCGTGGATTCTTCCTGATTCATTTGTGTCCCTAGGAAATGAAAAAAAACTGCGTTTCTTTATTTTCATTATAACAATTTCGCACACGCCACTTGCGCGCTCTCGAGCTCATAGTTCATTATTTTTTGGCAACAATATATTCAAATAATCAAAAATGAAATATATGTAGAATATTTTTCAGTTTCGCTCAATGCAAAAAGGCGAATTACAGTTACATTTTATATATCAAGACCAAACATGCGCTTTTACAGTTCCATTTTACTTTCAAGAATCACTTGTCCACCTGTGAGTGAAAAGTGCGAAAAACAGTCGATAACACCGGCACCCAAACTGCTGTTTTGAGAACAAAATGCACTAACGGAATCGGTTAAGACCAAATAAAATTCCTTTCATAGCAAACTTTGACCACCACTGCAGTAGCTAACAATCGCCCTTCTCCAGTAGATGTCGCCAAACACAGTATCCAGAAAATGTGCCAATGACGGCTGTAGCTGTCAAAATTTCTTGCTCATTATCAATTTCGGATTGCACAAGAAATATTCTGTGAAAATTGGAAAATTTTGTAGTGTTCAAAAAAGCCCAAAGGTCAAACAAGTCCTAATATTGGTCAGTAGAACTTAAGGAATAGCGAACAAAATGTCAACGAAGAGTATTTCACTATTCACACGTACAAATCGCTTTCTGGCTGCATGGAGGAACCAAAACGTGACGTCCACGACAAGGTAAGCACACTCTATCGCCGGTCCAGCAGCAGCCATTGTTGTTGTGTTGGTGGGTTGGACGCTTACGGCTGCGGTGCGGCGATAATAGGATGTGATAAGGCGTGATGTGACGTAATAAATAACATTGCGCTTTGAGTTTGCTTGCTGTGTATGATGCGCCATTACTTGATTTTAATAATTTTTTTTTTCTCGATTGAAAAAGTCGATCCTTGCGCCACTATAGTTCGGAAAATTCGGCACAAAAACCTCAATCGGATACTGAAGGTTCAAGTGGCCAATTGGAAAATGCTGTTGCCGAGGCGACAAAGAAGCTTACACAAGAAATTGAGCAACTCAGCAAGGAAGTGAATGAATTGAAGGAAAAGAATGATGATCTGACTGACAAGTACAAACGTTCATTGGCGGACAGTGAAAATCTGCGTACACGTCTCACTAAACAGATAGCGGATGCAAAAATTTTTGGTATACAAAGCTTTTGCAAAGATTTGCTCGAGGTGGCGGATACGCTGGGGCATGCCACTGAGGCAGTGCCGAAAGAACAGGTATGTAACTGAGTTCCAAATTTATATTACATAACGCTTTAATTACTTCATGCTTTAATTACTTCAAACTTTAATGTATTAACATTTTTATAACTTTGCCCTCTTCAGGTCAACGACAATAATCCACATTTGAAGAATCTGTATGAAGGTTTGGTGATGACCAAAGCTTCACTTTTACAAGTGTTCAAACGTCATGGTCTTGAACCTATCAATCCACTCAACGAAAAATTCAATCCAAATATGCATGAAGCGCTTTTTGAAAAGGTGAGTGTTTGATTTTTGACGTTAACGATTCATTTAACTTCAATGGGAATCAACGAACCAATTTTTACAGGATGAACCTGATGTAGAACCCAGTACTGTCGTGGTAGTTACCAAATTAGGCTACAAATTGCACGAACGCTGTATACGACCTGCGCTGGTAGGTGTTTCGAAGTCATGAGTTCGCTACTAGTAAGACGATAACAATTTGAATAATATTGAAAAGCAGCTTTTCAACACTTGTGCAGCTGTTGAATCCTGATATGTAGTAAACTCGTTTTTATAATTTATATTTTGCTTAGTGTGAGAACAAATCTATTAGCAACTACCTTTAAATACTCGTGGATTTGTTCATTCCTAAAGACCTAATTTTGCATCGTATTACGAAGGGTATATACATATACATGTTAAATAGCAAAGCAACCAAAAGGTAACAATATACCAAACTGTTGCCAATAATTCTTATAACGTTTATACATTACAGATAATGTAATGCATAAGTTCCTTGAATAATATTTTTCTCACAACTATGTTTTTTGTTCTATTATTTCCCAAATGAAAAAGTAATGAAATTTAACGTATGTAGGCCCCACTTAAAATTTGTGCGACTGCAAATAAATGTGCTTATGCATTTCCCTTTATTTGTGGCAGTTGATCGCGATATGCACCATGTGCTATGTGTGCCTTTGTGTGAGTGCTTTAAAAGTTTTACTTGTTTTTCTTAAAGACTTACACGAAGTACATTTTCGCTAATGTATAAAATTTATCTTAATTATAATAAAATGGGAAAACAAATTATATGTTTCAAAAATATAAACATCGCTCATATATTTATACATTCCATTAATTATTTGAAAATCGTTTTGTTAATTCTTAAGCACATAAACAAAGTCTTAATTCACTACTTAAGTGTTTCAGCGGTCGCCTGTAGCAGCTTACGCAAGTCCTCATCATGTTCTACAGCTCGTTTAACTGCCGCCAATAGCTGTGCATCAATGGGCGATGAGCGATCATTTGTCAGTGGTAAATGGCTCACTTTGGCAGCCAATTCCGCCAACTTGGGCTTGCTTTGCAGCAGCGTTTGCAATTGTTGCGGCGGTATATTGGCTGCACGTGCTAATTGTATATGCGATGGTACATAGAATTTCGGCGTGTTCAAATGTACTGCTGTTGTTGACATTGGATTGCCTGCAGCAGCGTCGTTATGTTGTGGCAGGCGATTTCCGAAGACAGGACGGAAAGGTATGGGATAATGATACGGTAATGGATTACGTATTAAAAGCGGCTTGTGGGGATGATGTACGCCTGTTGGGTGGGCGCCTCCATGATGTGCGGCTGCTGCTTGCATGCGTTTCCTATACTGTAGCTGAGGTTTAATGTATTTACTTAACTGCTGTTGCACTTGCTTGCGGGCGTCAGCAGCATCGACGCCATTACTTTGTGGCCATAAGTTATAAATGTGAAAATAGGCTGCTAAGCGCTCGAGCAGATTGCTCTTAGGCTTTGTTGATTCTACAATAGTCCGTCCACCGTCCATTTCTTGCTGTTGTTGTCCACGACGCGACTCTTCAGTGCGATCGGTGAAGTCTGCAGATTCTAGGTATGCTTTTATCAGCTCAATGCCTTGATCAGTGTTTGTTAGCTGGCGTATGTACTTAATGGTTTCTTCTGCATTAGAAGTGCCGAGAAATTCAGCCAGCTCACTTATGCTAGGCACTTCATCGAGACTTCTCAGACCGAGCTTTGACCGCGCTATCTCGAGCAGATCATGCGGAAACTCGGCAGCCGTATAAATTGTGTTGTCTGTTGACGCTTCAAGCGAATTGGTTGTCAAATTCACTGTAGTGGAAATGTTAGTGTCGATATTGGTATTCTCAATCGTATTGGCCGCCTGTTTGAAATTGGCTTCAGTCGTAGTGCTTGTCGTTGGTGCTTTTGTGCTGGTTGGTATTTCTGTGCTTGTGCTCTCTTCCTTATTTGCTGGTAGCGCATTTATGATCTGATATTTGGGATAGTATTGGAGTGAATGGAAATAAAGTGTTTGTTGTCGCGTCGCTGTAGGCGATAAAGTCTGCCGTGCCAAGGACCACTTGATGATGATGAACAGGCAAAGTATCTGTTTACAAAATTTAATTAGAAAAATGCAAAATTACTTTTAATATAATGTGGCTTGCACTTACTCTGAAATCCATGTTCGTTTTCTTACAATTTCCCGCCTGCATGCAATTTAAAATTTATTCGTCTACTTGCTACCAGCGAGCGCGATCAACTGAACTATTTCGAAAGGAAGGTTGTCTTGCTTGCAACATGCTGCACAAATGCACAAATTATAAGATGTGACGGGCATTCATGTACAAATGTGTGTTCAAAACAAATATGTAACATGCATTTGAAAATGTTTGACATCTTACCTACCTGACTTTTATTTTATTTCTCTTTAACTGATTGCCTAGTTCGTGATCCCATTGAAAATGTGGGTGATGCTTCGTGTTATGGCTACCAATAGCAATTCTACCTGCGGATGTTGCTGTGCGTGGGCCATTTTATGGTTTATTTTATGATTCCACTGTAACGAACAATTAACATTCTACGAAGAGCATTTTACACTGAAGTTTTGAATGGCCACTGCTTTAACAAAAGTCGTGATTACAAAGTGAGTACCTATGTACATATGTATGCATGTACATACATGTACACATATGCATGTACATATGTTTGTATATCAGTAAATACAGTAAGCGCCAAAAGAAAATGCACTGCTGGGCTGAATTATTTGTACTCAGGAGTATACTGCAAAACAAATTGTGTAAAAATGCTGAGATAATATTGAAATGAACTATTTTTTTGGAAATACTGGAAGAATCATAGTCTTTATACGCATAAACAATGTTAGCTTCCAAAGCGCATAATCCAATATCACGGGAACTAAGAAATATGAATCCAAGAAATACCGTTGTTGTTGTTGTAGCGACTACAACACCCCTGCCCAGGACGGTTGGTATCTCAGTCGTTGTCGTCAAGTTCCACTAACGGCAGCCCTAGGAAGCGTGCAGCTTCTGTCCATAGGGACAAGGCCGTTAGGGTTGATGGGTTTTCCGGGCATGCGAAGAGATGTTTCGAGTCATGTCCGCATGCCGGACACTCATTTGGCACATTCTCATTCAATCTACTCAGGTAGGAGTTTAACCTGCTGCAGTAGCCGGAGCGAAATACCGTTGTTGTTGTTGTTGTTGTAACAGCATACAAATTCCCCAAAGAGATTTTGGGGAGTGTTGCTGGAGTGGTGGCAGTCCTTGGCCAGATATATATCTATCTGGGTCGTTCCGGTTACGCAGACCCGACTGTCGTGGGAACGAGCGAAATACCGTCTTTGGTTTTGCTGTTAGGAACTTATCCATATACTAAATCGAATAGGTACTTAACCTAAAAAAATAAGTAAAAGATTTTAAAACTTTCAATTAGAGGAAACGTTCCTATTACTTATTAACGAATCAAATAAACGCTATTCTGATTGTCAGTAGTCTTTTTACCATTTCCGTTTTTTGGTGCTACTATTCTGTAATCTTAGTCATTTCAACTACTACAAAGAGATCAGAAAAGGGCATAATTAACAGGTATGTACATACATATGTATGAAGCTATATGTATCGTGTACGGTGACACATACATTTATGTACACATGCATGTAAATCAATTCATAGGTTATTTATTAGCACGTGGTGTGGCAATTAACATCTGGCTATTTGGCAACGTGGTACTTCAAGTAGTACTCATCTTTAATATGGTACTTTGTATATAATGCTCAGCAAGCCTTATAATAAATTACTTATTACCTCAAACTGCACAAAATACTCATATGTTTTTCTCCTAATATTTTTAAACTGTTTTAACAATTGAATAATGGAAAGCGCCATCAAAACGAGCTATCCAATGGTATTTTGTTAAAAATTTCTATTTGTCCGCAAATAGCACTCGAAAAGCCCAGGTTAATGACGGCCAATGAGCGTGCATTGGACAGTGAATAATTTGCTATACATACATACGTAAACTACAACTAACTACGTATACATTGAATAAAGTTTGTAGATACATTTTATACGATTGTTTTAACAATTTGCAATTTGTCTAGCGCTATTTAATAACAGCCAGCCAATGGAAAAATGTTAAGTATTTATCTTTGTCCGTAAATAGCACTCTTATGTCCAGATAAACGTCGACAAATGAGCGTGCACTGGACAAAAAAACTTATAAAATTTGTATTGCATTAATAATCTAATTAAGGAAAGCAAACTATTTGCCAAACCACCTCCGCCAAATGCTAAAAATTTAATAAATTGTTCAGCAAACTACTTGCTGCTGTAAACTGAAATGTCAAATCGTTGATGTCGCCACAAGCGCACATCCGCCATATGACTTTAGGAAGTGTTCCGAAAACGATAGATATTGGAAATGCTTGAAGTTGGCAAGTCAGTGAAATCTAAAAATTAAGAGCAATAAAAATATAGTTTTTATTTTAAGTTATTTTATTTTTCGAGGGCAGAGCATTTTCTGCAGAAATGTAATTAATATTATAACTAATACGAACTTGTATGCATGTAAGTACGTAAGGTATACTAACCTAAGCGCTCACTTGCGGCTTTTTTCTTTGCTTTTCATTTCCTGTCCCTTCCGTCAAATACCGCGAATAAATTTCTACTAGACGCTGTGTGTATTGTACCATTTTAAAATTTTAATTTGTGCAAAAATAATATATAAAAAGTGCATTCCATAAGTTTATTGTATTACAAAAATGCAAATAAAAGTATTTGGTGTAAAAATCTCATCTCGGTTTCTGTAAACTGTCAAGTGGTGGTCGTATAGGCAATTTTATTTGCAAATTTAATAAAATATGCTAATTTTTTCGCCTCAAAAGTGTTAGTGCATTAAAAGTAAAGACAATTTGCATCCATTTGTGCTAAAGTGTTTCGTAAAATCAGAAATATAAAGGCTAACGGCTACTTATTTGTCCAGAGCAGTTGTGTGGCGGTGCGTCTGCTTGAAAAAAGCTGGACGACATCCTGCAAAGGGTTTTTAAAGTGTTAGTTTATTAAAAGGAAGTCGGTTAGCAACCGTCTTAACCAAAGTGCTTAGTAATATGTGAAATATGTATGCATCACGGCTAATTGCAATACATACGTAAGTATGTCTACGGCAGTTGTGCGGCGGTGTGTCCGCTCGAAAAGTACTGAAGGATATCCGCACAAGTTTATTGCCGGAAATCGTTGAGAACGGTGAACTTATATACATATACGGTAAATGATGATTTCGCAAAATGAATTGGAATCTTTTTTCAAGCCGTCCTAAGGTGTTTTGTTGAAATAAGGTGAGTGGTCAATGTATTCTTGTATTATATAAAATTTAAGACTGTCCGTCATTGAATACATATGTACATACTCTGCAGGAAGTGACGTTAACTTATACCTAACTTAAGTTTGTTTACGCGAATACTAGTGCTAACTATTAACTGTATATTTTGTTCGAAAAAAGCTAACTACTTTTGTAAGGCGATGACCTCAAATATGTCAGAACTGGATACCACTGGAATACATATCAACTAACTTTTAACTAACTACTTTGGACATAAAATACACATAAAAAAGATTTAGTTATTTTTATATATTTTTTGCATTATTTTATTTAGTTAAAATTCAACATTGCGTATTCGTATATTTGTTTACATATTCTACAAAGGTGGTCCCATACCCGAATTCCGTCAGATATAACATCAAAATGATAATATAAAATTTCGAACTTCCCTGCAGTGAAAAATTATCAATTGTTAAAAGTAACTAACTTGTAGTTAACTTTCTGGCGGAATTTCGATAAATTCCTCACTTTTATTTAGCTATGACAAAACCAACTTAAAGTGAGTTGTAAAGTCGTGCAGAAGTCATGCAGACGCAATCGGGAGTTCGTTTTCTTTACAAGTTTCTATTTAAAAATCCTGCATTTAATGTCCTGAATACGAAAAAGTATTTGTAAAGTGCAGAAAAAAATGTATTTAAAGCAGTTTTTGTATGAGGATTTTTAAATGGAAACTTGTAAAGAAAACAAACTCCCGATTGCGTCTGCATGACATCTGCATGACTTCACACCTTCTTTAAGTTGATATTGTCATAGCTAATTAAAGGTGAGGAGTTCATCGGGATTCCGCCAAAAAGTTAACTACAAGTTAGTTATTTTTAACTATTGATAACACAGTGCTACAAAAAAGCATAAAGTAGAAATACCTGGGGAGTTAGTTATGTATGCAGCACTTTTGAGATCATGTAAGTCAGAATTTCCAACTTTGTACAAAAACAGCAAAATTCGACAAAGTTTCATCAAAATTTTGAGCTTTTTAATTAGATTTCTTAAGCTGAGATCCCACGATTGCCGCAAATGGACCAATCTGGAACAATTTTTATTGTGCTGTATTGGAGCACAATAAAAAAATTGTCCCAATGAAATTCTGTACAGTCACACGGTTGCCTCTTTTTATATAATTCTCATTGCCGTAAGCTGACGAAAAGCAATATAGTGACAATAATTGCCCCAAACTTATCACACGATTGTTCGAGCCATAAAGTGTTGCGCTGACCTCTAAATTCTGTTTTTTTCTCTGTTGTGTAAAAATGGCGTATTCTTAATAAAAAAAAAATAAATCAATTGCATCTGCTTTGTATATTGCGGGCTCATTTTGTGCAAATTTGTTGTTGTTTGAAAGCAAAGAAGCAAAAACTTGTGCCCAACGAAAACTCACGCATTTATTTAGAAGTTTGATTGTATAGTTTTTTT